CCGTAAGAAAGCTTAAAAATTCAAATTTAAAGTTTTCCCTTTTAACGCGCCACCTTATTAAAGAAGTTCATTTTATTTTCCGTTCTACGGTAAATCTTATTAAATTTTTCTGAAATATTGTCTCACTCTTTCATATTAATTTAAAACGGATAGGTATATCGTATTAATTTATTCGATCTTTTAGTGCATCCCCATAAAAATGAACAAAGCGTTTCAGACACCTTTTTGATCATAAAATCCCTTATCGAGTATCCCCGTAAGTGATTATGTATGGAGTCAAAGTTTCAGTGAAATATCGCATGTTGTACGTGAAACAGTTGTTGTCTTTTTATGATGGAAAAGAAAACATCATATTATTACAAAAAAATGTTTGAAAAGATCTCTAATGTGTAACGCAAACATAAAACGAATTGCTCGATTGAAAATCGCAAAAGCTGAAAAATAAAAAACCTAATATAATAATCCCCCGTGTCTGAATGTCCCTAAACTCTTTTTGTAGTAAAACTTTCATTAGAAAATTCGCAGAAGAGCCCAATACATTAATCGAGCTTTAACAGTACTTGCTATGCGCACAACAAAAGCTCTTAAATGAGTAATATCAAATAAAAGGCCGGTAGGTCTTTTAGCGTTCTACCATTCGGAGGAGAAGTGGTGAATAAATTAACATACTAAATCTGGAATAACGTTTCAAGACCTTTATAAAATTGTTTTTAAGGGCAACGCGAATGGTCGCCGAAGTTAAACAAAATAAACGTAAAGGCGGTTTATTGGTAAAGCGATCTACAAACAAATACTAGACAAGCTCTTTTCATTACGCGAAGACCTAACGGGAAAACTTTTTGATTGGTCGTGTAAAAGCCAAAAAACGTTCCATTTTCCGCATTTATCATGTTCTTGCCGAACTAGATTTTATGTTCGCTTACTTTAATGGGATCTGACATTATTTCACAATAGAGCTGCGCTGCTCCGTCGAGTGTTTGCACAAACCTTTTTTTTCTTCAAATATGAAGCATATTACGAAACATATTAAACGGTTTTGTGTATATAGTGTGTATTTTGCATTAGTTTATTCTCTAAGGTTTGATTTAACAATTGAATGTTGCTCGGGGAATTGTTTCATAATAATATCTTCTCCGGGCGAATAAGGAACAAAAGGAATCGGAAATGAGCGCTTTATCTGACTTGAATTTTAAGAAGCAACTTGCGCTGAAATGGTTTCTGTAAATAATCGAGCATTGTGTTTTCCACTGTTACTTATGAAAAATTTGATAATTAAGTACACGTAGGTTCGACGTCACTGAAGCGGCGATTTTCAGTATCGTTCCGGTGTTCGATTTTATTTCCGTCTCACATAATTTCTAATGGGGAGGAAGTGGGAAAGGTGTATAATTGATTGCGCTACTATAGGTATATCACTGAAAAAGTGATAGCCACTGATTTCAAGTTATTCGTCCTTTAAAAGATTTATAATTAACCATGCATTATGGCGCAAAACTTTCCAGAGTGAATTCCTTGCCAAAGAACCTATCAGCCTATCACAATTTTATTGTCAGTAGCTTGACGTTTTCGCGATTTTTTTAATCGGTAAATCTGAAATTATTCCCTCTAGCTAGTTCATCCCATTCCTTCCATCCCCACATCTCCGTTCAATAATAGATAATAATAAATGTCGTTACAACAGATGTGGTCTTAGTTCCTTTACGTGCAGGAGCATCAAAAATGTGTTTTCTTATTCTGAACTCGTTTTTTAATTTCCTCTTTGCTATTTCTCACACCTGTCCCATCGCTCCTTCCTCCACTTTCACCCTATCTCCTCTCCCCCTCCCCTTTCCCAAATCTCATCATCTTCTATTTTCCCACATTCAATTCCCTTTCTTTCCCACTATCTCTCCATTCTTCCCACCGCCACCTTTACCTCTGTTGCCATTATTACTTTGCCGTCTGCGTATTCCAGGGATCGTATCTTCCTTCTTCCCACTAGGATTCCTCCAGTTTGAGCCTGTCTTAATATATATTATCCCTATATCTCTTATGTAAAATTTAAATAAACCTAAAGCTAAATCTTAAGGCTAAGTAGATATCTTTGTCTCATTCCTTTTAATGTTCAAAACACTTTAAACTTCTTCCCTCCTATCCTTGCTCTATTTCTCCCCTTTCCTCGTTCATTCTGTCCTTCTTGTCTAATTTCCCATCTTCCATCATTTTCCATATTTTTCTCTTTTCACTTTGTCAAACACTGCCTTTAAATCAATGAAAAATAACACTCATTAATTATTTTTCCGACCAGCACATATATACAATCGATCGTTCCTCTCCCTGTTCTGAATCCCATGTGTGATTCCTCTAACAACCCTCTCTCGTGTATTTCTCTTTGTCTCTTTCTAATCTTTCTTTAAAAGTCGTCGCATATATTCTGTAGGTAGTCGCCATTATCGCGATTCCCCTATAATTTTCCATACAGTCTTTGTCATCTGATTTGTGAATCGGAACTATTACCCCCGCCTTCCATTCTTTCGATAGTCCTCCTCTGTTCCATATAGTGTCTATTAGTTTCCTCAGCTTCTCCTTGACACTATCTGTGGCGAAAATCCATACCCAGGTCCATACCTCATTTCATATCTTCTTGCCGCTTTCCCTTTCTTCTGTCTCAATCCCTTCTGCTGCTATCTGGTCTCCTTCCACCTCCTCTCTTGCATCTTACTCTGTCGCTGCCTCTTCGTCCTGATTTTCCTGTACTACCTGCATATCGTGCTACTTTCAGCCCTCTATGTGTATTTCTCCTCTATTTATTATGTTTTCCTTTTTCCTCTATCAGCTTCAAAATGTCCTTTATTTCCTGGATTTCTTCTTCATATTCTTTCTGTTTCTGCATATTTTTTTCTTACATTTTCTGTTATACTTTTTTCTGTTCTCTCAACTCCTCCTCGATCTCTCCTTTTTTTTCCATCATTGTTCCGTACACTCTATATCCTTTTCTCTCTCTCTCTCTCTCTCTCTCTCTTGTACTTCATTTATCTGTTTACACGTTATTGCCTTTATAAGACTCTCCTTATTTGTAAAGTCCTCCTCTGTAGGTACTCTCTCGTATTTCGTCTTCGTGGTTCTTTAGGCTCCTTCCAAAGATCTCCACAGTGCCTTTTTCTATTTCTTGATTTTTTGTAGCATCTCCTTCAGACTCGTTTCCGTAGGTTGGTAATCCGATTCTATCCTTGAATTAAATTCTTTAAGTTCTTGTAGTATTTTTGTTTAGTAGTATATGTAATCAATGACCGATGCCTCTTTTCCTCCCATATATGTGTATTTCCCATCCCTATCTCCCCCCCCCCCCCCCCATATTTCCGTAATATGCTCCATTCTCTCTTGTTGCATTCTTTGTCTCTACCCATTTTCCTTTACTCCTGTTGGGGCATTTAAATCTCCCTCCCCAACATTAGCCCCTCGTCCTCCTTTTCTATTACCATACTTTTCAATTTTATTTTTAACTCTTTCATTCGTTCTCTGTTGTATATATGTAGTTCTCCCTCTCATTTTCTGTCCCAACCACTTCCATTCCCCTTCCTACCTTTTCATTTCATTCCGCCCAGCAGCCCTATTCCCTTATCTCTTTTTTATCCCTGTTGATATACCGCCTTTTTCTCTTCGGCTTATGTTATCCCTCTTCGCAAATTGGTTCTTCATATCTATTCACTAGGTATCCTATTCTTTATTAACGAGCTCCTAGTGAGTTGTGTTGTCTGTCCGTCGGTCCGTTAGCACGATATCTTGAAAACGAGTGGACCGATTACGATGAAATTTTGCAGGTAGATCCCTTATCAAATTTGTAGATAGGAATTCGGTGAATCAGCCATTTAGCCCAAAAAATAAGAAATACTCTAAGGAACACGCACCGTTGGCATCGGTGATCTCAACACTAATTCCTCTCACTATTATTACTAAAAGATGTCAATAACGAAATGAAAAATGACAAATTTAAATAAAAGGGCCAAGTTCCCGCCAATTGGGAATTTGTGTGATTCGCCCCTGAATGGTGTTTAGCTTTACCGCATACACTTTAGATTTCAAATAACCCCAAAGAAGAAGTCCTAAGTCAAATCGCAAGATCTTGTAGGGCAGTTGACATCAATTTTTCCGAAGATCATGCGTCCACGTAACTCTCGCACTACTGCGGACCGGACCACACGAGGCTGTTACATCCTCCACAGACGCTGTGGTACAGAATTTCTGCACAATTTTACCAACTGTGGTTTCAGTAGGCCGGTTATGTTGACCGAAATAATCACGTAAGGCTTGAAACCTTCTTTTTTTGAACGCCCATTTTTACATTTCCACATATTTAAAGCGTCACTCAACGGTGTAACGCTCCATATTTCATTTGCCAAAGTTTATAGAAACCAAATGTGACCAAGGAAGCAAAGGAACATGATAAGAGTGGACCTAGCTAACACTTTTAGTTTGTACACTTGACTTTTGACACTCTGTAATAAGTATTAAAACTGCCTCTTTCTGATATCACGCGCCAATATGAAGCTTTTTATGATCTAAGCTTGAAATTATGCCGACCTTCTGACTTGTAACTAAATGCCACTAGACAAAACTACCGAATATGAGCTAAATTATCACTATCGTGTCACCCCGGCATCCGGATCCCATAAAAAAGCAATGCTCTTTTGAAATGAAATACGCAGCGAGGACAAACTTCATTTCTAACACGGTTTAAAAACCTTACCGTACAATACCGTACTCGAATTCTCTGGGGGATGGGACGGCAAGAAATATTCCGAGGCGACTAGGTAGGTATTCCCGGGGCGAATGTTCTGGATACAAATTTTATTGTAGGCGCTCTTTCTGCGCCAACTCCAAATTTTAGTTGCTCGCTCGTTAGTTACAAGGGAATGAATCCAACCCGACCTCTCACACTTAATTCCTCTATATATCACCATAGTTCTAAAGATCAACGGTAAGTACCACAATAAAACGTACATAGATAAAATTTGATATGTTTAATTTGGTGATTTTCTTTTTTGGATTGATGAACCCTTAACTAAGCACAATTGTATTTCTTCTAGCGTTTTGTTTTTCGTTTCAATTACATAGATAACGCTAAGAATTAACGCAGTGAGACAAGCTAGTGATAAAACGTAAAACGAATAATGAATGCCAAAGTTATCGGCAATGAGTTGGAATATTTTGGACACGATTGCCCCATTTATTACCGAAACTACGTCGGCAAGTCCTAAGGCAATAGCTTTTATATTAGTTGGAAATAACTCTCCAAGATACGTTGTTTGTGCAAGCTCCAAACCGAGTGTATAAAAAGTGTTGTATAGAACCAAAGAGGTGAGTGGTAACCACCTGAGGTGCGTGATATAGGAAGCAACTGCGTCTTTAAGAAGAAAGTATGTTCCCATTAACCCTAAAGTTACCCCACATACTGCTATTGATGCTATTACTAATGGCCTACGACCAAGTCTGTCAATTACTAAAATGCCAATCATGGCCGCACACACTTCGACTCCAATAAAAATCACTACCGATGTGTACTCACTTAAGTCTCCGTCCGCTAACCGAAATATATCAAGCGTATAAAACCCTATAGGATTTTTCCCACTGAATTTTCGAGCAAAGTTTATGATTAAATAGATCACTACCGCACGTCTATTACTTTTTATCGTAACAAGATCCGTAAATTTGGCTTTGGACTCGGATTCCTGTCTAGTAACAGCCTTAACCATCTCGTCCAATTCTTCAGCAACACTTTCGGCATTTCGAAAGATTTTCAAGCTCGTCTCCGCGGCAGTTTTGTTTCCTTTTTTGATATAGTAATATGGAGATTCAGGCATCCAAACGAACGATAAAAAATGTAAGAGTGGCACGCAGGCACATGCAAGCGATGATTCAAATATTGTATAATGAAATCCCAAAACGTTGATAAATAACGCGCCCAATATTGAGAACAGTCCCATTGACGCTGTCAGAATACCCCTAACTTCGGAATCGGAAATTTCGCCTAGATACATCGGTAAAGCGGTGTATAGGCCGCCTTCCACGCTTCCGATAATGAACCTCAACACCGATATCACAACGCCACTTTTCGAAAATGCCAACCACACAAACGCCCCGAAGGTTACCGGTGCCATGATTAGCACGGTAATTTTTCTTCCAATTCTGTCCACGGCGAGCATGGTCAGAAGAGCTCCAGGAATTGCTCCAATAAGCGGCATTATTGCGCACCAAGAGCCTTCATCGCTAGTCATGGAGATATCTGGATAAGTTCCGTTTAAAATTTCTGGTAGATATGGAGACGTCCAGCCTAAGTTTATTCCTGAACTCATTACAGCTATACAACCTGAGAAGCATAGGTTAAAATACCATGTAGGTACTTACCACTAGTCTTACCTGCAAGAGTGGCCATGTATTGGTACAAATACCTTTTGTTATAATACGAATGGCAATACATCGCTCTTAAAAATCTCTAGTAACACTAATTACAGCGGTTAGATTTAAGGATATTTGTACAATTTATCTGGGTAATCACGTTAGTTAAACGCTTTACTGTTTGTACGCTGTTGATAACAAGTAATGCCATAACTTACGGGATTTATCTACGTTTCTTGAATTTTTTAAGGTTTATATGTATTTAGAGTGCCATCTTATCAATGGGCTACGATTGCTGTTCACGGAATGTTCAAAGTTTTTAAGTTATTACTATAAATAAGTTCGGTTAAAAAAGAAGAATTTATTTCCGTTATTCCTTAAGAACCCAATAAAGTTTATTAATCGAAATGATTTCAGTCGCCAGCCACTACTATTGCCCATGTTCGAGGCAAAGCACGGATATCAAATAGAAAGAATTCCTCATCTTTCGAAGCGATCCATTCATCTAGTCATCTTTCGACATCCTCAAAAGATCTAAAGCGCTGCTCAAAAAATCCATGAGCCATTGACAGAGCAAATGACAATCGGAAGGGACAAGATCCCGTGCATAAGCCGTATGGGGTAAGTGTTTCAAGACTTCCACATTTACAGAAATGTTATAGCGTAGTAAAAATGCATAACTTAGTGTTTTGGTATTTTATTTAATCGTAAGGAAACTAAAAGGTAATAAGCAATATAAAGTTACAATCGCGATTAAAATGCAATATTATTTCAGATCTAAATTAAGATTTATGCTGCAGTACGTGTGTAGATTCGGGATGTGCCAATTGAAGCGGGTCATTATAATTAAAATAAGAGCAAGGAGTTAAATACTATCGTTATCGAATGTCAAATGCGAAAAAACGTGATAAATCTGAGTTAAGTACTTGTAAAATCCATCGTTGTAAGATAAAGCATTTGTCATATTTTACAAGGGCGGTACCTATAAATATGAGTGGGAAAGCAGCTTTCGTTAATCGCCGTTACGCAGTGCCAAATCTGCACCGGTCGTTTTCGCAAAGCCAATCGGTCCATTGGATGAACTCCGAAAAAATAGATACAAATAGAAAGAGCCACCGTCAAGCTGCATTTCCGAGAAAGAAAGAGAAAAAGTTGAAAATCTCTACGGCGTAACTCAAGGAGAATTTTATAATCGGTCCGTGTAGAGCGCAGCTCGACAGTAAATTTCAATTCCAAATCAAAGAAACGATCTCTGCGAGAAGTCTATAATTAGTCCATGGCAGAGCACAGCTAGAGGTAAGATAATTTCAATTCTGATTGAAAGCCGTGACCACAACGCATCTAAAACTCCTGGGGAAGTTAAGCAGGCTCATTAGATGTGAAACAACGTCAGTGTAAATTCCGTGGGCCAGCAGGAGTCACGTTTCTCGGTTATGGATTATGGATAAGTATAATTAACCGTAGTTAGTTGAATGGGTTACAAAAAATTGGAATTTTGATACCTTCCCGTATTTTTAAGACGTATGAGAACGACCTAATTAATTGAAAATAATTTTAATTTTTGAGCTTTATCGCAAGGACACACCGTCTAGCTGGTAAAATCGTCGTTCAGCCCATGCCATAGCCGATTTTTATATAAGGTAAGTGCTTAATTTAGAGGGGATCATTTTGCCATTTTTGCTTGTAGTAAGTATGTTAAGTTATTTAGCTTTTTTTGTGTTTAACTGTATTTGTTTTCGCCCTTTTTCATCTTTGCACGATTTGTAAGTATTATAGTTTTGAGCCGTCCACCGCTTGGCCTTTAGAACATCTGGAAGCGCAGTTCTCTGCAACATCGAAATTTCCTTCTTTGAACCGACGAAACCTATCGCAGCCTGATTTATGGAAGAATCATAAAAATTCCAGGAATTTTGAGCTAAAGAATCCGCAGAAATATACCCTGAAGTCTAACAAAACAAAGGAATCGAATAAACCCGCTCTTTATTACAGCTTCCGACATGAAGAGGTGGGCCATATTAACATCTGAGGATACTGATACAATAGAAAATTGTCCTAGGGAAAATCTAGTGTAGGGGAGGATTGATAATTTATCATCATCATTTTCTCAACACACTAGAAACTCCCTACTGACAGAACGCTTCCACTAAGATCATAGACTAGAAAAAATTAAATGCACCCAATCAACAGACTATTGTATTAACCAGTGTTAATAATTTTGTAAAGAGAGAGAACACGGAAAGGGAATTAAATCCTCCCAAAAAGGACTTATTGACCTCCTCGGTCAGAATCCGACGAATTTTGTCGGTTAAGCATAGTTTAAAGGATCCTCTGTAAACAGGAAGCCAAAGGTTTATCTTACTACGTGAATATTCTATGCAGAATCCTATGCTTTGGTTAGGTTTTTGTTCCAAACTAAGCTAAACGAAAGTTTTCCGAGGTTTGCTAAATTGAGTATGTTAAGTCGTTATACGTAGGTACCCCAAATGCGAAATGAATAAATTGATCAAAAAGAGCTTTTATGTACTTTTCCAATTTAAAAGGGATATAATATGTACGTGATTTTCAGCTAATTTTGTTGATTTTCCGTTCCATTTCTACTCACAAAACGTTAAAACATCAATGCTAGATTTATTATTAATTTTGTTTAAAGCCAAGGAAATCGACGTGAATTGTGTGGGTTACATTATTTATCCTACGCTATTGTGGCACATAATAATTTATAGAATTAATTTAGGTTACCTACCGTCCTTTATGTCTTATACGAAATCCCGTTATTTTATTACAAAGATAAGGAAGGAATAAAGTGAGGACATTTATCTGGATATAAATGGATTCTCGATTGCAGACAGTATAAAGGATGAATCGATGACTGTTTCCAAAATCCCGTTAAAATTCTACAAAATGTACATGGAAAAAACTACTTCGAGAGGAAAACCCTTTTCAAGAGCCTGAAAATGCGATGCTTATTTCGATTCGATGTTCGATATAAGAAAATAGCTCTCGTTGAGTTATAGCACGGAATGATTTTAATCTCAAATTAAACCTTAAAAATGTGCACAGTGGCAATCGTATATTATTTTAAAGACTTTCCGTGATTTAAACCGCACCGCAATGTAGACACGAAACTAATATACCATTTTCACGTCAGTAAAAAATGTATTAATGCCACTGGAGACTCATTCCACCCTCATGAAGTTGCAAAGAACAATCCCAATCCATTTTCCCAAATTAGGAAAAGTGCTATTGACCCGAAATTTTATTTGTAAAAAGTTCATTAGGGTTTATGTTCTACAAAATGTCCCTATTCACTCTTCTCCTAACTCTTCGTCTCTTTTTACTGGAAAGTGCTACCGATGTTTAATTTAAAATTGAAACATTCCGTATAGTTTTATAATTATACACGAGAAAATTTGTCCACTCGCATGTTTGTCCATCTGCCCATGCATTCGGTTACCTTCTAATAGTCTAAAAGTAAATCACAGTAATCGTTTTATTAATAATTTTTGTTAACGTACACATAATTTGGACTAAAATTGGCATAAGTGACTTAAACCGAACAGCTTTGAATACTTTGAGTTAGCTATACTAAAACATGTACCCTAGGTTTGTGTATGTTTGCACGGGAAATATTATATGCCTTAAGGAGTTAGGTATACAAGTCCAAGATATTAATTAAGGATTTTAAAAAATGACAGCGTCTCATTGATTGGCACTTTTGCCAGAGATCCCGCTCTAGGCCAGTTGGAATTCGATTTTTCCAGAACTTTGATCCGAGGAAAAAGATCCAAAGATACCTATCGTTATGTCTCCCTTGCATGCCTAGGTAGATTTGTTTATACAAAAATTTTAATTAATTTCAGAAACACAAATATTGCTAATAAGGTAGTGTTCCAAGTTTCAATCTTTATTAAATACCAGCTTGGCAAAACTTTTTATAAATCAAACAAAATAAAACTTCTATTTTTTAAAATCGAGGTCATTCACTTCTCACTTCACTCCTAATTCTCCCGGTTATTTCCACCTACGTACAGTTCCATGCGTTCTACGTCCTCTTCTTCGTCTCCGCATATTCTACATTTTCTTTCTTCTTCTTTTGTCCATTGTTCTTTCCATCTCTCTTCATTTCCGCAATTGTTCTTTCTTCCGACAAATACTTTACTCCCTTATTTGAGCTTTTTCTATATCTGTTGTATTTATAATAATAATAATAATAATAATAATGTTTATTCCCACAAAAACAACTAATAGGAAAACAAAAATAAAATAAATAAAGAAAATAAGAATAATGTGGGAAAGGACTGCATTCAGTGTAGCAATACCCTGATCTTCCATGCAGCCCTGTCAAGCCCTGTATTTGGAGACCCCTTTTTGCCAGCTTTTCCATCTTTTCTCCTACTCCTCTTCTCTTTTCGACTTCAGCCCGTCCGTATTTATTTCTTTCGTAATATTTTCCTCTTAGTTTTTCCCACATTCCCTTTGCGTTCATCCTCGTTGTCAGGAATTCATTCACCAATTCATTTTCTGTATCGCTCCTTTCCACGAATCCGCCCTGCGTCCCGGCGACGCTATCCTTATCTTTTCTGTTTTTGTTTCAATTTGGTGTTTTCCGTTTAACTTTAATACCCATTTTAATATCTTCTTTGTACTTCTTCCAGTTCCTCTTATTCCTTCCACCTCCATAACTCCGTTCTGTACATGAGCACCCCCTCTCCTTCTTCATCCCAGTTTGTATGGTAGAAGGAGCTTTCAAATTTTTCACATTTAAGCCGAAACTGTAGTAGCCGTTGGAATTCAGTACTTGATGGCGGTTTCTCCAAATGTAAGTTCGGCCAATGCCTTCAGAAGAGCTTCTTCAGCATGTCTAATTTGATTTCTCTAGGTTTTAGCTAGTGCTCGTGCCTCAAAAACTAGTTTATATAGCTACTTAGTGTATGTGTAAATTAATATCGTGAAAGATAGTAAAGGCTGATATCATTTAATTATAGCTTAAGGGTTTTAAGAAATGATTACCGTTTCTTCTCCTTTGGGATTGTAGAAGCGAGCGAAAAGAGATACTTTTCCTAATAACCATCTGGATACTTACTGAGAAAGTAC